AATGTGTTGGGCGAGAACATCAAGCACAACCAAGAGGTAAGCGGTTATTAGCTAAGCCGGCCGAATCCACCTGTACCTCACCGGAAATCAACAATCTGTTGCAATGCATCAAGGGTTTAGTTGCTTGACCGCAAATTTGAGTTTTGTTCACCCAAACAAGTAGTCTTGTCAGGCGTTTAAAATGCATGGAATAAAGGAGGATTTTAAAGGGTATTTTATTTGTTTCGCCAGGATGAAAATTAACTTGGATGTAAAATCAACTGCGCTGCTACAGATTTTAAAATCAGCACCATTTTTCTGTCCGCGCTCATTTCCTGATCATATTTGAACCAAATCGCGTTCACGACTTGTACACAACAAAGGTTTAATTTGTAAAACGCCAGACTTGATAGGCCAAAATTTAATATTGTTTTTAATTACTACCTTTTTATTTTTTGACGTTGAGGTAAAACCGGTCGGAAAACTCAAAATTAAGGTGCGTAGTCTCAACTGAACGGCAACAACCCTCAAAATATCCCAACAAGCCCTCAGAAAATAATTTTTGTATGTAGAAAATTGTTGTATCACTCTTGCGGGAAAATAATTTAAATGTTGCACCACCCTTACAAAATAATTTAACTGTTGTATCTTTTGAGAAATACAATATTTGCACTTACTGTAGACATTCCAAGCAGACCTTCTTTGTGTTAACTTCAACGTTCAGAACATTTCTGTCTTTCATTCAGACGTTAATTAACATTGTAGACGTCTTCTTTAATATCAAGATCGCGTTAGGTAGTACGTAAAAGCCCTTGATAAACTAGAAACTGAGCTGATAAATGTTTGATACGTATAAATATACCTCAAATACCATAGTCGTAGTTAGGACCAAATACATATCATGTATTCTTGTTCATGAAAAAGAAACAAACGAGTAGTAACTTGAACCCAGCAACACAGTGAAGTGGAAAGAATTAAAACCTCAGCACTTTTGAAAATGTTAATTCTTGTTTGACAAGTTTAAAAAATAGAAGGCGCGCGTGTGGATACTTTTGACAGCTGGGTGGCTATTATGGATGGCGAGGAGAAACCTGTGTAATTAAAAAGAATACCAAATCAAATTATACTTTCGATGGAAAGCAAAGAGGTGTTTTGTTTACAATTCACCGTAAAAGGTGCTCTGTGTGATCTCTTTTCACTGAGTTTTATCCTCGTAAACGGTAAACACGCGGGTTATAATTGAACCCGGCCAAACGTCCTGTAGCTTGGCAACCCAATATTACAAAATATTTCAGCTAAAATTGGCTATTAATTTCCTTGCATTAGTAGTTACGCATTTAAAAAACGTTTCATCGGAGACAAATTCGGTACCTATGGCCGGCGTACTCTGTTAACTCTGGTGCTTTCATCAGTTCATTCAGTTCACTGCTCATTGTTTAGCCTGGCAAGTGTAGGCGAACAAAATTGTTGTTCGTCATATATCGCACAATGTCCAGGATACAGTCATCCATATTTTGTCAATTGCCTTGCGAACCGGATGATTGAAAAACGAACTGCGGTCATCTGCGCCTGTACAGCACGCTACAAAAAAAGTGCCACGTAATATACGTCTGCGCGCGTGACGGGTGTTTGAGGAGTACAGGTGCAGAGAGCCAATAAAATACAACAGGATTTTGAATGTAGTCTATACTAAGTCAGTCTTAATGTAGAAGGTGTGTAAGAGGGCGTCATCCCACACTGTCATTACGCAGCTACTAACTAAAGAAGCAGTGTTACCGTCTTGTGATGGATTTCTTAAGTTCTAAGGCAAGATCTGTCTGGACCACTGTTATGAAATGTGTTGGGCGAGAACAGAAGCAACAATTAATGCAAGGTAAGCCGAAATCTACGCATAAACTTCAGACCGAGACATAAATCAATTCAACGTATCGAAGAGTTCAGTCGCTTGGCAAATTTGGGTTT